ACAATGACTTTTTACTTTATTTTTTACTAATGGAAACAATTGCTCTTGACTTAAAACTTCTTTTGAACCTGCTGTTGAAGTATAGACAATATACTTGGGTGTTTCGCATTCTAAAAGAAGAGGCGACTAATAGGAATTTTTGGACTTAATCAACAGCGAGAAGGTTGTCTTAGTGGTGTTCAACAGGAAGTTGAATTAAGCGCCGGTCACTTCTATGGTTAAAATAAGTGTTTTTTTTTATAGAACTGCGAGCACTATAAGAAGCGAACCTCGAGTATATGAACGTATATACGAAATCTTTTATATTTTAAGATTTTTTATCAATATTTTTGATATTTTTAGGTTGATTTTAAGTGACGCAACTTAACAATTTTTAGTAGATGACATGACTGACAGCTAAATATATATTTGAGGTTTTGAATTTTTTATATATTATATATTCTTGTGCAGTATCTAAGTTGATCTCTTCACACTACCAATGACCGCGTTTTATCGATTTGAAAATAAATATAAATTACACATATTATAGTTTCTCGCTTTCTATGCTTGGTTTTAGTAATAATCGTGTCTGCATCTAAATTTTAATAGCCGGCTTGTAGACTTACAGAAGTTTCTGCTTTCAAAAAAATTGCTATAATTCGCCGATGAGCACCGAACCTATGGCCGATACTTAAAACCACATAAAAATACGCAATAATTCGACGCGCTGCGAGTATTTGAAACAATTACTACACATACGCCAACACAAGACACGACGAGCCATGGAGAACGAGAATGAGACCGAGATCGAGATTGACATTTGCAATAAAGCCACCTTTCAAAATCCATGGATAACAACTATAAAAGTGTTTAAAAATAGACTGAAAACGATCGCATTGGACACTGGCGAAGTGGAGAAGAATTCCTTGCGCATTGGCCTTCGCCTTCACCATCGTCATAGCCATCGCCAGCGTCATCAGCATTGGCATCGACAAACGGCGATGGCCATCGTCTGCGTCAGCAGCGGCAGCCGCGCACGCGCACACATCTTGGTAATCGTAAAGGCGCGCGCCCAAAAGACCAATTTCTGCCATTATGCCAATATCTAGGAGTGTTGGACATTACGATTGCACCGGCGAACGAGTGCGCACCTATTTTTAATACGAGTATTACCCTGAGTTGGGCATTCATTTGAAATTATCTCGCATAAAGTGCATGCCACGGCAGGAAGAACAAGAAAAGAAAACAATAACAAATATAACAACAATAACAAAAATAACAACAATAATAATACAAATAATAATAATAACAATAAAAGATAAAATAAAATGCGTAAATAAAGCAGAGTCCATCAAATAAAGTTTTAAATGAACAATGGGATCCGGGGTTCAATTCAGTAGACAACGACAAATTGTTGAAATGAAAAAATAAATACTATGCTCGTTACAATCGTACGCTCTCGTGCGGGTACGAACGCTAGAGCGCGCATAATGCTACAAACACATACACAAACAATCATGGTATGTGTGTGTGTGTGAGTGGAGCAAAATACGGGCACAAATATATGGATAGGGGTATGAACATGTCTACGGGAATACAAAAGAGCCGGGCACGAACGCACGCGAGCGGCCTAGCCAAACGCATTAACCCATACACAAAGCCATACTAATATATTTATATATATATATACATACATATATATTTACATGTGTCCGTATGTATGTATGCGCATTCATAGCTTGCATATTTAGTGTCCCAACATAAAGCCAGGCATACCACGTTGGCCCCACTAAACGCCTGTGTATGGGTGCGCATGCGTATAGGTGAGATTCTACGACTAACTATGGAAAAAACTATTTCCGACCACAAAACCACAAAACGTGATACAAAAAAATAAAACAGAATTTAAAAAACACAAAAAAAAAATAATAATAAAGTAAGATAGAAAAAGCAGCTAGTTGGAATAGGAATATCATAAGAATCCCATTGGAACGGAACAGCTTGGTTGTCTCTGTCTTTAGGCGCTATTCTGCACCGTAATATGCGACAGTGGCGTGAAAAATGGTATTGTTTACTTAGTGCTGCTGATGCAGAGACAAAAGTGTTAGATTAAATGTCATAGAGCACTAGATGACAATTCAATATCTACATAGATATACTAACCGACTGCCGACGTCTCGAAAGCCTTTCGGAACCCTTTTGTACCTTCAGAGTTACTCAGGAAAACAACTTCGAAAATGGTAGAACCTTTTCATTCATAAGTTTTATTCAATATAAGCATAATATAATCTTGCGAAAACAAATGAAAATTTGAGGTTATAGCGAACTCAGAGAGCATCCAGACTATGAAGACTTTGGTCCAGGCGGAATCTGAAAGTTAGTCTTAATCCTTTCTATTTTATGGGTATGATTATATGATCAAAACTGTTTTTTAAATAGTTATTCTAGTTGATAAAAGCAGAAGGTTTTAAAATGAAAAAGAATTTTTGCTCGGAATTTCTGCCTGAGAATCTGTGATCGAAAATTTCGACATAATTCGCCCGCTTAAACCGGTATACACCACCGTAGACCCACATTTTAGTTCCATATATAGAATATCTTTATGAGAGAGAAAGATCAAATAATATAAGTGTTCAATATATAGGTAAGGACACTATAACCACTGATAAGGATAAGGATGGGAAAAATAATTAAGATGGAATTGGATCGGATAGTGCCAAAATAAGTCATGAGGTTAGTTCAAATGAAACAGAATAAAACGCAATATATAAACAGTCGGATAAGATCAGGTGGTATTAGATGGAGAAGTAGTTCAAAAACATTTATAAAGAAATGAAATTGAAGGTGAAAATTAGCAATTCCCTACAAGTGGAATCGGTAGTATGTGTTGAAATCACTTATCTAATTTCCTGTCCAATTAGATAAGGTCGAAAATAATTAATATACAAACTAATCTAATCAGATATTAGAAAAGGTGTATAAATATAATTAGATATTATGCGGAGCGCGACCGAAAGATAAGAAATGAAATCGAATATTGAATCAGAATCGGATATGATGAGATTTTACATGTTCCGCTAACATAGACTTCAAGGCTTTTATCGGGATCGAAATAGCACCGAATGTAAAGAGGCCGAATTATATACTACATATAATAGACTTGTAGATGCTGATCTGATAAGTTAGTATAAATGGGGATCGATTCGGTTTTGATGAAATTATCATCGATAGTCAACATAATTTGTAAGAACAGGTCCGGAGACTATGATCTGTTGAGTGGCATGGCTGGGAGTTGAAAGTGATTAAAAGAAATACCAAAGCAATAAAATTCGGGTAAAATACAATAGGTTCCAAGACGATAAAAAAAAACACAAACTCGAATTTTTTAAAGCATAAAATGGTATAAAACGGTTTTGATTTTTCAGTTTGTATGATAGCTATATGTTATAGTGGTCCGACTTAAACAGTTTTTTTTGGAGATTATAGCGTTGCTTTGGACCATAAACCATGCCAAAATTTCTTGAAGATAACACGTCAAATAAAAAAGTTTTTCATAGAAGAACTATATAATGACCGATCATATATGTGTCCTACAGTGGTCCGATATCGGCGAATCCGACAAATGACCAGCTTCTTAAGGAGAAAGCCAAATTTTAGTTTGATAAAAAATCGATTCAGTTCGTCACGCTGGTAGGATAGGATAGAGGTATGAACATGGCTACGGGATGCGTATATGTATGTATATACACTTTATGGGGTCTCTGCCGTTTTCTTCTGAAAGCGGCAAAGGTAGGTCAGATTGTTAGACTTAGTAATGAAGCCATTTAATCAACTCAAATCTAAAGAGAGTTTTGTGGAGTGCTACAAGTGCACAAAGCAGTATATTAATGTTTTTTTACGCCACTGTACATTTGGTACACCCGGAATCTTGCGCGCCTCTCAACGCTTCCTTTTTTACCAATATTTATTTATGTGCTACGTTAAGACGCCACCGCCATCGCCACTGCCATCACCACTGCCACCGCCATTGCCAGCACAGTGACCATTGTGGCCACCTTCGCCAACGACGCGGACGCGCATTGATCTCGCTGGTATTCTTCACGGCTATGTGATAATGTCTATGCTGGTGTATGTGTGTCTGCACGTATGTGTGTATGTGTTTGTGTGTGATTTTCACAGTTCACATATCCCATTTATCCGCATATCCGCCTATGCAACAACAATGAGACCAACCAACCAACAAACAAACGAACGAATGAACCGTCTGTCTGTCCGCTGGCCCGATTGTCCAATTGTCTGTGGCGGAGAGAGGGGAGGAGGGGAACGGCTCGAAGTCACCAGCAACGAACTTCATTCTTAACCTTAGTAACCGTGAACTTGATTAAAAAGCATTTCGCACATCACTCAGTTCACCAAACGAGCGCGCAAGCGGCAACAGCAACAACAAACAGTAATAGCAACAACAACGCGCTACGCCAAAGGTACAAAAGTAAAAACCAAAATCGAAACAAAACAGCGACAAGATTTATATGCAGGTATGTAACTGTATGCAGTTCTGTGTTGTGAGAGTATGCGTGTGCCTTTATGTGTATGTGTGTTTGTTTGTATGTTTGCTTGTTTGGGCATGCTGTGTGAAGCCGTAGGGCATTGAGCAGCGCTGCCGCGATCGCATCACATTAGCAGTCGCCAGCCCAAACGTTACCTGTCCGCAAAGAGCAGCAGCAACAACAACAGCAAAAACAACATAGTGACGTGAGCGTGTTGGTGTATATGTATATATGTGCCATCTCATGTGTTTGTTTGTATGAATTGACTGGCTCAAAGGATTAACCACACATACTTGCACGCATATATTTGTATACAGACACACACATGCGGACGTAAATAATAGCCGAGTCAAAAACGTAGCCAAGCGACAAAGCGACAATGCACATACACGCACACGAAAGTCAAAGCAGTCAAATGTACGTGTGTGTATGTGGATATGTGTGTGTAATTGAAGTCACAAAGCAGCAGTTAAAGACGAAACCGCCACGGCTTAAGAATTCTTCCGCGGGTCTTCCAGCCAACAACTTTAGAGTTCTTGGTTGTGAGGTGTTTGTGTCAGTTGGTCTTTTGCAGCGATCAAGAACGAACGTGTCTTTCTCTCGTACACGGAGCAATAAAATTTCACAAATACTCACAGACTCAACAACATATATATTTACATATATATATTTATACATATAGTAATATTGTGGTGTAGTTCTATATATAATAGTGCAACAAGTTGAAAAATTGGTTATTAGTGTTCGATTAATTGGCGGAAAGAGTCTCTTGTTTTGTGTCTTCACGTAGCAGAAATGGCGAAAATTATTTTAATCTGTTTACTGAGCGTATTAGCCTGCGTCTCAGGTTTGTACAAAACTCCATACGTACACAACCTACAAAATATTTTAGTGAATAAGAGTTTTTAATGGCAGAAAATCGTTTTTGAAGCAACAAAAATACTAAACGTTTTGAAAAATAAATTCGAAAATTTTTGTTAGATTTTTTATTTTTATTTTACATTTTTGTTTCTAAATTTCTGTTTAAATTTTGTTAAAGAACTTTTTGTTGGAAAATGTTAACTGCACAGCATCCGTTCTGCGTAGGTCAGCTGAATGCAGAATAAGCTGCATACAACGGCTAAGACCGAAGCTTGGAATATTTTTGAATTTCTGTGCAATCCTGTATGTATCTAGCAGGAGTTGTAAAGTTGAAAGAATGTTGCTCAACATTTCGTTCAAAGAATTTTAATGCGATTTTTTGGTATCAAAGGAAATAGAAGAAAAAAGAGTTTATTAAGATTTTTGAATATTTTAGTGAAATATAAAAATTAAAAAATATTATTTTACCGATATTTTTAAATGAAATTTGAAAATAACTAAATAACAATATTTAACGGTTTTTTGTTTGATAACTTGTCTAAGACTCTAAATCATAAGAACGCAAAAATAATAATTGTTGGATGTTTTGTACTGAAATTCAGTAAAAATTTACTAAACTTTTTTCTAAATTTTTTTAATATTTTTTCTACAAAAACCGCAAATTTTAATAAGGAGTGAAAAAATAATAATTCCATGGCAGTTTTTTGAATTTTTTTGTTTCAAAAATATACAAATTTTGTGAATATAAATTTTTTTTAATTTTGAAATATTTTTAGATAAAGAAATTACATAAAATCATTTTGTTAATTTTTTTATTATTTTTGAAACAAAAATATACAGAACTGCTACGAAAATTTACAACAAAAACATGTTTGTTGATAGTATTTCAAAATTTTTTATATAAAAAGAAAACTAAAGTTTGTGACAAATTTTTTCTATGAGCTTAAAAAGAAAGATTTTTCAAATGTATTTTATACTTCTTTTAGTTCTAAATTGTAGCCTCATTTTTCTCAAATTTTAAAAACATAATTACCGAAATACTATATAAAAAAATACAATTATAAAAAAATCAAATTATTAAAAAAAAAAATAAATTCATAAAAAAGTTGTAATGAAAAAATATTAATAAAAAATGATGATAAATGGAGAAGGGAAACCAAGATGGAAATAAAAATATGTTAGTATAGTGCCTAAGGATGCAATTTCCGCTAAATAGTATAAAAATAAATAAACTATATAAAAAATTAAATTACAATACATTACCAATATATTAAGGAAATGGTATAGAGAAAATATATAATTAGCATAATAAAAAAATGTAGTGTCAAAACATTTGTGAAAATAACACAAAATTATTTATTTTCAAAAAAAATTAAAATAATTTTAAATTTCTATGGAAAATATATTTACCAAAGAGTTACAAGGAAATAGTTTGAAAGGATTTATATATATACTCTCATAGTGCTTAGCTTGGAAAAAATAAAAAAATAATACAAATTTGCGAAATCCGTTTAAAAAAACACTGAATTCATTTTTAAAAATTTAAGCAATTAGATTGAATCATCAAAAAACAAATAAAACAATAATATAAATATTAATACAAAAAATAATATGTATACTTAAAAAATATATGTAAATAAACAATAAAATATTTTTTTTATTTTAAATAATATTTATTTTTATACTTATATTTATATATATAAAATATTTTACTTTATTTTTTCTCCTTAACTACTTATATAAATCTAAAGCACTAAGCCAAAATTTTACTGGCAAAACTTTATTAATACAGAGTGAGCTGAAAAAGAAAAAAATAAGCGTTAATAATTTTTAAGTTACTTAAACAAATTAATATACAATTATAACTATAAATAATATTTTAATTTAATAATACTTAGCTTTTCCTTTTGGGATGTATATATAAGTAAATGTATGGTTTATAAGTATATGTATAAAATTCTTGATTTATTGCATTTGATAAACGGATGAACACGAATTCCAAATTAATGACGTCGCATTTATTTCGCTTCTCAATTTATCGCCGAAACCACTTCAACAGTATTGAAACAAATTTTTATTGTACATAATGGCATATGTATGTATGCGTATATACAAATATAAAAAACTTAAAAAGATAAATTTTTAATCAAAATATTGAAAATATAATAAAAAATTACAATCTAAATAGAGATATTGGTAGATAAAGGTAAAAATGACGAAAAAAAAATTATACAAACAGTTTTCGAAATATTTTAGTAAATAGTATATAAAAATATAATATAAATTACTCAAATATCAAGGGAATAAAAATAACAACAAAAAATTACAATTTAAAAACAAATAATTAACTATAACATAAGCAAAGAAAAAATGTTACTAAAAAATTTCAAAATATTTTCGTCAAATTTCCTTTCAAAATTATAAAAACAAACTATATAAAGAAATTTAAAATTGAGTTTAAAAAGTAATAACTATTATATAAACATAAATGATATTAATAACAATTATTTTTTTAAAAATGTTCATCAAAATAATAGAGCTCACTTTTGAATTGGATTTCGCTAGCTACTTGCACAAGTCTCTTTGTCATATATAAATGTCAAATGCTACCAAAATTTTTTCAAATAGTTGCTATTGCACTCCACATATTTCAGTTCGCTTTTCCAAACAATTGCTGAAACCGTTAACAATTTGCATAGACAAATAGCGTCGTTGACTATATCGGTTGTGTGCTTTATATGGAACTTTGTGAAATAAGGGTGTGGTCTTAAAAAGTTCTAATAAGTTTGCAATAAAAATATATTAAATTATTAACCGTTAAATAGTAATCGTGTTATGAATTATGAGTTGACGTTGCGATAACCTTTTTTATCTAATATTAATTTTTTTTTAATATTTTAATTGCGCATCACGTCATAGCTTATATTTGCACAGATACTTACGAGCACGTACATATTTTGTCACAGTGACTCACAAAAGTAATGAACAAACCTGTGTCATAAATAATATTTTTTATTATTTTATCTTATTTAACAAATAAATAATTGACATTCAAAAGCCAACCTAAGCTATATACAAATACTGATTTCCAAACAAAAGACTTAAGCAACGAACCTGGTTTCGTTTGTTTATACAGACGGTAGGCATACAGCATTATTTCTAAGTAATATGGGAACATATTCGATCAAACTAACTATAAACTGGCAGTATAAGGGGAGATTTTCCTGAATTATGCACATTTTTAAACATTAAATTTGAGCTTACGATTGGCAGCACTTCTACTTTGACTTTCGTAAAGGCCTTAAAAGAGCCTGACTTTATTCTTCGATATATAAAGGATTAAATTAGACATTTAAGGCAGGTTTAGGGGAAAACTAGGCAATCAAAAGCAGAAAAAAACTAAGAAAATTAAATGGAAATAGCAATGGAAGGTTTAAACGTTAAGGACTATGCATTCTAAAAGAACACATGGCTGAGGAGAAACGGATTTTTGACAATATTTTACCCAGAAAAGTACATAAAAACAAGAAAAAACGTTAACTACAGCTGTTAATACCCTTCACAGGTGCATTTTTTATAGCATAAAAGGGTATGAAAATCTTTACTATAGCAAGGTAATACTATAGTGGCTCGATCTGAATGGAGATTGTAGCGCTGATTTGGAAAATAATCCATATAAAATTTTATGAAGATATTTTGACAAATAAATTGTTTTCCATACAAAGACATAATTTAAATCGGTCAGTTTGTATGGCAGCATTCCGAAAAATGAGCAGCTTCTTGGAGAAAAAAGGTGTGTGCAAAATTTCAGATTGATATCTCAAAAAGTGTACTTATTAATTTGCTTAGCTACGTATGTCAAAGTACCATATATAAAGTATAAGGAGTAAAAACAATTTGCAGTGCTTATTATTTTAGCCATATGTGTAAATTATATACATAATTATAATTTTTAATAATTCCGTAAAAACTATATATACTTGTACATAAATATATTTTCTCATAATTTTTAAATTTAATTTTAATGAAAAAACACATTCTCAAGCACTCCTAGAACACCCAACGGGTTAACATTATTCCTTTTTATATTTGCTTTGACACTTGAAACCTAATAAGCGCGGCTAATATTGAATGAGTCATGTTTGCAAGTCTACAACAAAAACAATAGCTCTTTCATTTTCATTTTTGGTTTGTTTGCTGGTTGCTTTTAAACTTTTTCAACGCTATGCGCACCAAAAGGAGTGCGCACATACCGTTGTCACTTCCATACAGACATACCAACATACATACATACCTATGTGCAGAAGACATAAGAAGGAAGACATTCTTCGGCGCACACCGGCATACAAAGAAACAAAATTACAAATACACACACATGCATATAAGTATTAATGTATGCAAATATGTTTGTATGTTTGCATATGTAAATAAATAAATTTAAGTGCAACGCTTACATTGCAGCCAATCAGTCAGTCATACCACACATTTACGCAAACATTTGTGAATTTTTGAAGACCGACATTGACTGTCACGTTTCTACAGCTGAGACATACGTCAAAAATAAATACAGGATGAAAAGAAATCAAACAAAATATGTATCGTATACAAACACACGCACATAAAGCAGTGAATAAGGTGAAAAATATCAATGAAGCCCTGCAAAGACGCCTAGGTATGGCAGGACATATATATTTATATTTACAAAATTATTTTTAAGTGTGTTTGTTTGTATGAAAGCGCGCTTGTCACATTAATGCAGGCATATTTGTTGTACATGCCACCCAGCTGCAGGCTGGCACGCCACACGCTGCACTTGTAGAGACACGCCGCTTGCGTGTTTGTGTGTGTGCCTTTGTTTGCCTTCGCTTTGTACGCACACTGATTAAAACTATGCTCACACTTCGAGGTGCTCAAAACAGCCATCGGAAGTGGGAAGCTCATGTCCAGAATAATTTAAATTAATTCATAAAAACGATTGCTTCGATTGTATGTGATGTGTGTGTGTACAAGTATATGTGAGTATGTTAGTAGATAGCAAAACGTTTGAAAAATGTTGAATTTTTTTTTATATTATATGTGGATCAAAAGTATGAAAAAATATAAAGGAAAATAGAAAATTAGAAACAAATTTGGAAAAACAATTTTTTTTAAATATATATTATATATATTATATAGTATAGAAAAAAAGGCTAAATTTATTTATACTTAATTAATTTTAAAAATTAAAAAAATAAATTTAAAAAAAAATAGAATAGAAATGTGAATTAAAGTTTTAATAAGAGAAATATATAAGAAATTTAATAATAAAAAAGTACAATAAATTATAAAAGAATATAAAATAAAACATTATAATACATGAAATCTTAAAAAACAACAATAAATATTAATAAAATAAAATTGATAATAAATAGTAAATGTAAATGTGAGAGTTTTTATAGGTCAAAAGTTTGAAAAATATATAAAAACAATTTAAAAATATATCAAATATTAAAAAAATAAATTAAAAAAATTTTAAAAGTATAAAAAATATTATAAAATATTATAAAATATGTTAAAAAAATTTCAAAAATTATTTGAAAATTTATTTGGAAAAAATTAAAGATATAAATTCAAAAAGCAAAATTATAATAAAAAATTGTAAATGTGTATTAAAAATTTTCTGAGTTTTCTTTATTGGTCAAAAGTTTGAAAATTATATTAAATATATTAATTGTAAAAAGATTAAAAGATTATAAAAATAAATTTAAAAAATATACAACGCATGACAAATACTATAATATGAAAATTATTATAATATATAAATTAAAATTAAAAAATAAGAAATAATTAAAAAATTAAAGGAAGAATGATAATTCAATAAGCGTAATTAAAGCAAAAAAAGTAATTAAATTTTTATGTTTAAAAAGAAATTTTAAAAATTATAATTTTTACAAAAATTTAAAAATATTATAATTTTTATAAATGTAGATATATACACATATACAATTTAGAGAGCAATATTTAAAAAGGAAATTAATTTAAAAAATAAATTTAAAAAGAAAATAAAATATCGAAATAAAAAATAAAAATTATTAAAAACTTGAACACATAAAATTGAATGAAAAATGCACGCGATAAGAAACGGACATAATCACAACCTTCCAATTTCGCTGAATGTACTTGCATACATACATATGGTATATACTTAAATATACATATACATTTTTACAGCACGTTCATGCAAGAAAAGAGAAAGGCAATACAAATGCAATAAAATAATTTAAAAAATATAAAAATAATTGTTCATATAATTTATGCATTAACGCAACGTTCTTCCTATCACACGCACGTACTCACTCACACACAAACAAATAAAAAAGTTTATAATAATCAACAACACCCACTTTATATTCACAGGTCAGCGCATCACCACCATTCACTTGGATGGCGTACAATACTTCATTAGTCGCATGAATCCCTATTCGCCTGAACTTAATTATTTCCTTGCCTATCAGTATTGTCGTTCGTTGGGTCTGCAGTTGGCGTCGTTCGAAACGAAAGAGAAAGCCGAATCTATGACGACATATCTAAAGAATGCCGGTTATGGTAATTATGATTTCTGGACTTCCGGTAATCGTTTGGGCACCGGCATGTTCTTATGGATGAGCACTGGCCTGCCGTTCAATGCGACCTTTGACTTCTTCGAGAACTCGGCCGATGCCATCCAGGCTGGTCTGCTCGATCCCGTTGATCATAATAGCAATACATCGCCACAACGGACGGCGCGCGACAGGTAAGTGAACGTTTACAGTTGATGTTTGTGTTAAGTTTATAGCAGAAGTTCCTTATCTTCGTCGTTCGTTTTGCGGTAAATGCTTATAGAAGGCGGAAATCGAAGTTAGAATCAGTGTTTATCTAGAACAGTAAGCGTTTCTTACGCGGTCTCTATCGAATAGGTCGTAATATTTTCAAAATATTGAAAGAGCTCAGTGTGATCTCACAAAAATGGCGATTCTTCTTCCAAATTCTTTCTATTGAATACTCTTCATAAAGCTTAGAAATACTCTGGCGTTCTTTTATGATTAGTTCCCAAAATAATAAAGAACTGTAGTTCGAGAACTTTGGTTTTATTTCCAGCTTGGAAATTTTTTCAGCTAAAGTCTCAGTTTAACCTTATAAAGAAATATCCGAAACCACTTTTATGGCCAAAATCGGCTGAGAGACCTTTAAACAAAAGTCAAGCTTAATACTTAGTCAACAATTTTTACTCATCTGCTTTTTTCTTATTCATCCATTGATATTAGAAAAGAGTAATCTTAATAGTAGTTTTTGGCTTAAGTTCAACGAAGGGCCTCAAGATTACTGACTTAAATATCGAATACAGCAACATAAGAGATTCTCTCCAAATTTCTAAAAATGCTTAAACTTTTCATGAAATCCCAAAATAATTCAATTTTAATCAAGAAACCTTATATATCAACTTACTCACTTTACACTTTCGTACAACTCTTACTTGACCCTTTACAGCAGTAGCGGCGCTGAGAAGGGTTGCGTCATTTTGAAACAACCTACATTGAAATGGATGCCCGAAGACTGTTCGGCTGTAAAAGATTTCATTTGCGAACAGACCCGATGCTATTACTACAATTACGGCAGTATTCCAGTGTCATCGGCGCAGGGGTAAGGACATCAAACTACTACACTTACCTAAAATCACTGAATTCACAAATCAACCAACAACAAAAACAAATAATTCAATAATAAAATTAAAGAAAACTTAAACACTCACTAAAACTAACAACAAAAATTAAAGATATATAAAAGTAATTGAAAATAAAGAGAGCAAGAGCTAAATGTGCGAGAAAGAGAGAGAGAAATCACAAAGATATTTAATGAAAAAAGGAAAGAAGCTATATTTAGAACCGCTAAAACTTGCTATAAAATTGTGTCAAATAATATTTAACCAACAACAAATCTCTTGCACAAAAACAACAACTGTTTAAATGCTAAGCGAGATAAAATAGCGTTCTGCGTGAATTTGTGAAATTGTTTATTAAAGTAATCTATTTTTATATAATACGCTAATTTTTGTAAAACTGAGTATATACCAAGCAATATATACACATATATATTCACCAACACAAGCGCAACAATGAAGCGTCAATAAACAAAAAACAATACTTACAAATATAGGTGAGCTAAACCCCAAATCATAAAAAAATACATAAAAAAATTTAGAGTTAAAACACATTAAAAATAATACTAATATTTAAGTTAACACTTAAACAGTGACTCAGGAAATTGTGCAGAATTTTAATCCAAAAAAAGCTAATTTAATTAGTTTTTGTTTATAAAAAATGAAAAAGTATTTAAGTCAGAAATTATTTATATATATTTTTTTTTGTTTTTTTATCAAAAATTTGTTTTAATTTTAGCAGAAGTGTTAAAATTAAGAATGCATTATTAATTAATTGAAAAAAAATTTTTTTTTTGTTTTAACAGAATTTATTCCGAAATTTAGCATTACATAGTTTAATATGATAGAAATAATATTAAAAAAAAATTTTTTCTTGTACTTTTTTACCGGCTTTCATCACGAAAAATATATTTTGTTTCAAAATGTTGACTGAAATGTTAAAAATAATAATAATTTTATTAAAGTCAATACTTTTCTTTTTTTTGTAATTATAATTGCAAATTGAAATATTAAATAAGTATTTATATTAAAATTGTCTTAATATAACAAAATATCACTTTTTTATTAAAAAGAATAATAATTAATAATTTTAATTCAACAATTTTTTTTTCAAAAATAAAATAAAATTTTAAACTAAAAATAAATATCCAAATAACCAAAACTAAGACTTTAAATAGAATTGTAATTTTATGTTTTTAAAACAATTTTAGTTTACCAAATTAAATTCGAAAACTTTTTTTATTAATATAACTTTTTTTTAAATTTAGATAAAAATTATATTAAACAAGGTTTAATATTAGAAAAGAAATAATAAAAAATTAAAAATAGTTGAAAAAGGATTTAAATAAAATTAACTTATAAAACTTTAGATAAAAAATTTGTAAAAATTTATATATCTTTTTTAATTAAAAAAAACCAAAAACAAAAAATGCATTTCGATTTATATATTTTTAATATATACTTTTTAAAATATATATATTTTTTTAATATTCAAAAAGTATGGTTAGTTAAAATATATAATGCAGTTTTTTTTACAAGAAATATAGATGCTATTTAAAGAAACATATGAAATTGAGTATTAAAAATTTAATTTTTTTTTTAAATAAAAATGCGAATTAGAATAAACTATCGAAAATGTATCAATATCATAAATAAGAATAACTTTCTAGCTATTTCCTGATAGAAAGATTAAACTATCAAAAAAATATTTGTTAAAATTGCAAAAAAAAATTAAAAATTAAAAAAAAAAATTGTTTTTTTGAATTCCAAGAAAAAATATATTTCAAATAATAAATTAAACTTACTGAATTTAATTAATTTAAAAAACAAAGTTTAAATTAAAAAAAAAATGAAAATTGCAAATAGAAAATTTAAATGGTTTAAAAATTTTTAAAAGGTGATAAAAATTTCAAACAAAAAATTAAACTTAATTGAATTAAATTAATTTCAAATACAAAGTTTAAATTGCATAAAAAAAGATTTCAAGTAAAATATTAATTTTTTTCTTCAAAATTGTCAAAAACTTAATTAAAATTTCAAATAAAAAATTATATTTTTTACATTTCAAATTAAAAGTGTAAAAAAGCTAATTTCAAGTATAAAATGAGTTAATTTTTAATTACAAAAAAAAATTAATATTTAAAATAAAAGCTGAAATTTGTAAATATTGTATATAAAAGCTTAAACAAATATATCCTTTTTTTTAAATAAAAAAATAAAAAATATAAATTTGCTACAAACGAACTACATACAGTATATATTAATAATGTTAAAACTGTTACAACACAACACTTCGTCTGCATAATATTTTGAGTCACTGTTTGCGCCATGTATGCATTTACACATTCTCATGTAGTTCAGAGCAAAACTCGAACGTTATAAAGCAATTAGTTTGTCATTTTCCAAGTGCAAATAACGTTTCATTTCGCTACTAACAAGCCTACAAAATAGCAATAACAAGAACAACAGCAACAGTAGAAAAAGAAACAGTACAGCACATAATTAACTAAAATAGAATTTATGCCGCTTTTTCAAATTGCCGACGTACATACATACACGTATTAACTCGTATATTTTTACGATCACAATTACTAACATAAAAATTGCGTTTGTCTCAGCTAATCTTTTTTGTATATGTTTATAACAAATATTTTTAAGAATTTCGTGGTTTGGGGCTTAGCTGCTTGTAAAACACAAAGACAAAGATCTAAAGATAATGTATGTTTGAAAAAAAATTATAAAAGCAAAAAAGTAACGTTTTGAGTTTGCCATGTTTTGGTGTTTATTATCACTGCTGATTGGCTAACAATAACCATAAATCGTGCATTAAGGATTATACTTGTAAACATATATACACACATACATTACGCATCTTTTGTATCACTATTTGTAACAGTAAACTCTAAGTACAGTTGTTTGTATGTAATGTCTCAGTAGTGGCTTGAAAACTCAACTCTTTTGCACCTCTAACTCTAAAGCTTTGTGCGAACGCTATGTGTTTGTATGTATGTATGCATGCATGCTACGGTGTCATCATTAAAGCTGATACGGTATTTTAATGGCCATATATGCAGACAAATGCCGACGAACACATACGCACGCACACACGCTGCCTTTCACAAAATCTCTTAAGAGCTATTACCTCACTACAAACTAGTTTTTATTGCTGGAAATTCATTTCTAATTGCATTTTTTATTGCGTTCTCTTTCATTTCCCCCCGCACAAACAGCCGTCCAGTCACCTCTACCACTTCACGCCCCACTGTCGACCCCACCAAGCTGAGCCTATCCACTACTCCGTTACCGCTCACCATGTCCACGTACACACCTTTCTCGAAGCGTTCCCATCAGGATGACGAGCATGATGAGCCGCAGCTGTCTTTCGTTTCCTTGAATCTCGATCACGATCTTGAGAGCGGCGAGGAGGAGGCCAAGAACGATGAGCATGACAATGAGCACGAACACGAACATGAACATGATAGCTTCGATGCTGACGATGAAGAGACTGAGGATGAGAAGAAGCGCACATTACCCGTCTATGAGGGCAACAATGATTTGCATATTGTCAACAGCAAAGAATCGGCCGAACATCAAATTGAACAAGATGTACACCACGATGCACAACAACAACAGGATGCTGGCGAAGAGGATGACGATGACGCCGCCAACGAAGAGAACAACTCGGCTACACATGAGGATAGCGGAGATGATGTGGACACCAAGCGCAATACAGTTGGTGAAAATCAATTGAAGACTTTGCCAGTACCGGCTATCGCCGCGCCCGCTGACGTGCCCACTGTTGAAGTGCGTCTCAAGCAGATCTCACAGGAGATTGAAAAGATGGCCGCTGCCAGCAATGAGAATCAACGTCATAATATTCCGGCGGCTGGTGTATTACATCATGACAATAACAACAATGATGTCGATCGACAATCGTTCCTCTCGCTCACCGATCTCATACGTACACTACGTCCGAATAATAAACAAATCATACCACAAATCGATTCGGATTATTCGAATGCTATGCGTGTGCTAGGCGAGACCTCAGAGGTGGTTAATAATGAGGACGCGCATAAGTTCTAAGGCATGATTATATAATGAAGAAAAAAAAGTGCGATAGAGTAAGAGAGCGCAAACAGCAGAACAAAAGAAAGCAGAGACCTTAAGAAGAGAGAGAGAAAGTGAGCTTGAGCAAACAAGGGAGAAAAAGTGCAAAAATATAAGAGAAATAAACAAAATGATGTGAGAAAGAGACAAAGCGCTGTAAGAAAGAGCGAAGCGCTAGAAAGAAGAATTTATATATGAGACAGGAAGAATTTTAAACGCGGCAACGGAGACAATATACATGTAAACTACATACCACTATTTAGCGCATAGATCCTTACGATCTCGAATTAACTGTTATGCGGTAAAATTTAAATTTAAAGAAAGAAAAAAAAAGTATTTGAGAATAACTTGAAAGAGCATTATAGGTTATACCCACCACTATTGTAAACTCTAACTAAGTAACTATTGATCTTAAATCGTAAATCCTATATTTAGTAATTTTGCAAACGAGCTCGAATCGTGTTGCAAAAACTTTAACTATACGAACTATGCCTTAAAATGTAGCGTTATGCTTCAGTAAAATATTTTTTATAATGAAAATTTAATTATTTTTTGAAGTCTGAAAAGTATTGAAATAAATATTGTACGTTTCGGCTTGGCGGCAGGTGATCACGAGTACAACGGGTACGCGTAAAACTGCAACGAATACAGCGAGCGAGCAACGGAGTTACAGTGAGTGCGCCAACTTAGATTAACAACGAGTAGACGAATACTGTACCGGCGCACGTTTTGTGTATGTTCGTTTGCAGTGGCCGAAACGTGCGAGTACTTTCACATGGCGTTAGTATTAACAAAAATTAAGTAAAAATATAAATGAAAACATAAAAATTAATAAATTATAATTTAAATTTAATAAGCGCTTGCGACGAAAACTACTTAACATGCAACGGAAATTTCATGAATATATTTGCAATAAAAATGCTTTTAAATTTATTTACATACACATATTTTTAATACATATTTCATGCGAAATGAAAATAAAATTTTATATGAAGCATTGCAGTTTGAGTGTGTACGAATTATTTAATATTTACTTAACAAAAAATATAAAGATTGCAATAGAAGTATGTACCACAAACGATTGCTATCGGCAGTAAAACTATTGTAGACTTGTAAGTGTAAAATTTAATGTATGTACGTACTCTTACAAGCATATACAGAGCAAATAAAGATTTGTGCGCGTATATGTATTCAATAAAAAACATACATAAAACTATAAGATAATGAATTTTGAATTAAACAGGTGTAGATTAAGTCATAAGAACGTAATTGCTTAATCCATTAACACTGAAAGCAGGAAATGCCTGTAAATGGAAGGGCACATGTGAATGAAGGAGATAGGTATAGAATTAGAGACAGTGAGAGAGAGGGGGAAAGAGAGAGAGAGAGAGTGGGAGAGTGTGAAAGAGAAAGAGAGAGAGAAACAAATTTAAAAATATTTGAACTTCTGCTGAAAAGCTATAATACCCTTCACAGGTGCATTTCTTATAGCAAAAAATGGTATAAACAAATACCATTTTAATAGGTCAGTTTGTATGGCAGCTATATGCTATAGTGGTTCGATCTGAACAATTTGTTCGGAGATTATAGCGTTGTATTAGACAATAATCTATGCCAAATTCTTTTCAAATAAAAAAGCTTTTCATACAAGAAATGATTTCGATCGTACGGTTTGTATGGCACTTATATGCTATAGACGTCCGATCTGAACAATATGTTCGAAAATTATATCTTTCTCTTAGGCAATAATCTATACCAAATTTCGTGATTATTTCTTAACAGACAAACAATTTTTCCACATAAGAACTTAACTTTGAAAGAGAGAGATCTCAGTTGATCCATCTAATTATGCTGAGAAGCTTAGGTTGAACAGATAATGCAGTAAGACACAGTCAACGGACTCAATATACGAGATAATAAAGGCTATGCTTAAGATCTAACGAATTAATTAAATCTATGTAGTCCTAGTAGTGACGCCTGTTCAGTCTATAGAACATATAGTAATTTCATCACTTCTGTAAAAAGTGTAGTCTTTTTCTTTACCACCTTAACAATTCTGGCGGAATTAGAAGACAAACCAACCTAATGTGATATAAGTTTATGTGTAATTCTCGTCAATACGTCTTCTAAGTTTTATTATTTTTAATTGTTCAAATCTTTTTTTTCTACACAAAACGCTCTAAATATTCTTTCTTCTTATATTGCACCGTTACGTTTATCTCGAATTGGGTATTAAAATAATAAAACAAGACAAAAAATATTGGTCCGTGGATGTGACCGTGTGACTAATTAGCATAAATTAATATGTATATAATATATAATGAAAATAACTAGATTTAAGCGCCGCACTTACGTTAACCGTTAGTAAAGCCATATTGTTGATTTAAAAAATATGCGCGTACACGAATATTAGGGAGGTACTGCAATTTATGAAGACAATTTCAAAGCGGTTTTCGCAAACCTTAGCGGATAGGGGTATACGACGCGAATACTATAGAGCGAGATTAAAACAAATTTTGTGAACTTTAAGCGCCACCCTAATGTGCATACAAACATTAGAGAAATTAAATGACTGCATCAAGAAGCCTATCTGCCACTTTCGTTTTTCTTCGCAAATCTCAGCCAATGTTGCCAATACATTGGCCCATCATACTATTAACAACGAACTAGTATAAAAGATTATTTATCGCTACTTGTTTTGGATTCGCAGCCAATTAAAATTATAATTCGCATTATTAACCGTTTTTCAGCAAACCTGTCTCTTGGCAGCTGCAACAGGTAATAGAAGTTCTGGCTAAATTAATCGACATCAAGTTGGAATATCACGAATTATACTTTCGGGATTTTGAATAGGGATTTGAAGTAAATTTATATATGTACATATAGTACAAGTATTTGTATATAACATACATTTATTTGAATATGTGGTATGCATAGATTTTTATTTAAATAACCACTTTGTATTCCTTTATATTTATAAATCATGAATTTGTGAGTAATTGTGAAATTTTTCGTGATCCCGAAAATAATTTTAGTAATCTCGAAATTTTTGGGTATCTCGGATTTAATTTTTAGTAATTGTAAAATTTTTCGGGATCCCGAAATTTATTTTTACTAATCCGGATATTATGAGACATTATTTGTACCCAGTTAAATACAGTTTAGTATGTGTGTTTAATACATATTTCAGCAGATCCTTGACAGTAATTTTGGTAGACTATATTCGTACACACAACTTCTCGACTTCCAACTCGTTATCAGAGACATACATATGTGCATATATATGTATATGAGACATTTTTTTTATTGAAGCAAGGGGTTATATTCACTTGCAAGTCAGAAAAACGTGATTTTTTGTGAAGTTGTCTTTTTTGAAGAGCCGTTTTATTTAAGAAATACAGAATTTACATTTACAGAATTTAGTGTACTCTCATAACCGGTTATTCATTTTAAAAAATTTTAGTATCCGTTGATCCGATCATCCAGGAGAATCTTTGAAAAAAGGTGTCTGGCGGCACAAGTCCACAAGTCACAAACAATTATATTAGATGAATACAGGTAATAAACGAAGGACTAGCAAAAATTTTGATTTGTAACAAAATGGCGGGTACTCAAAAAAAAGGCGGTTTTTGAGAAAAATTTACATATAAAATGTGCAAAACAAAAGATACATTTTTTTTTAATTCGCATGTGGATATAACCCCTCGCATCAAAACTCAATTTTTGACCAGCAACGGTAGCGTCTCAAAACTTGAAGTGCGTTCCAAATTCTGTTTCGATCAGATTTCTAATAATTTTTTTTCTTTTTATTATTATTTTCATCGAAAAACATTTCGAATTAATTACTGACCATTAGCATACACTAAGCTACTATATCAAGAAAAAATTAATTGTGCTATAAAAGCGGCATCATCTGACCGCATAATCACCATTAGTGAAGTGGCTACTGTATAGCAAGCATCTTCGACTCGCTCCGACTACAAATCTCAACTACCGGTTATTGTTAATATTGGTTTTTGGCATCGTAAGTGTGTGTGTGCGTGCCTTGTGTATTTGTGAAAATCTTAATTCACTGCCAAGATCAGGTGCTGAACTAAGCACAATTACGTAGTACAACAACAATAACAACTACAATATTATGTGTTTAGTGCAATTACAAAATGTGAAATAAACAAAAAGGTTATCAACTAAAATAATGATTGATCCAAAGCTAATGATACCTAGAAGCGAGTTTAACGGAACACTATAAGAATCAGAGAATTTACAGATTCTGATTAGAAAAATATGCATGAGTATGTGTGTGTATGTTCATTGGAACCAAATTGATTATGTAAATGAGAGGGAATAGATTTTAAATTAAATATTTATGTTGTAAGGTTAGAAATTTTCTCCACAAGGACACATATTGTGTGGTTAGGAAATAAATATAAATGGAAACATGATTAAAAAAATTAACATGAAATCAAAACAAATTATCAGTATAAAAAAATATGAAAAAAAGTTTAAAAAACAATTATGTCAGAATAAAAAACCTATATTTCAAAAAAGCATAAAATTGAACCGTTTTAAAAACCGAAAAAATAAACAAAACAAAACAAAAATTCGAAACAAATTTAAGACTAAAAAGGAAGTAAAAATAAAAATTGTTTACTTATTATCATAAAACCATAAAAAATATAAAAAAATTAAAAATAGTTACGAAAAATATTTTTTCGAGTTATTTAATCGAGTAATCAATTGATAAATAAAAAATAATCTGAAGAGCAAAAAAGTGAACTCAAAAACATTTTCATCACAAAAATTTCAAAAAATTGATATAGGAAAAAATTCAAAAATGTTAAAACAAAAACATCTAGAAATTATAAAAACAAAAATATATATTACATAAAGCAATAAAACTGTTTTTGAAATAATGTTGTGGCGGATTTAAATTTCTAAAAAAATTTAATTCGTTTTCAAATTTTTTTTTTTAAATTAAAAAAAAATCATTTGAAAAAATGTATTTTAATTAATAAAAAAGTAGTATGTTATATTAAAAAAAGACATACATAAGTATATTACAACAAAAAATAATAAATTTAAAGTTGTGGCTTGAAAAACAAAAAACAACTTTTAAAAAAATTTAAGTTAATTATTTGAAAAATTAGTATATTAAAAAATATATATTGCAAAAAAAATTATTTAATATTGTAGCTTAAAAATTTGTAAAAAAAATTAAATTTGTTTTTAAAAACGCTTAATAAATTAATAAAAAAATATTGAAAACAATTTTCTTAATTATCTAAATACAAATTAATATGTGTGTACATATTGTATATTACAAAAAGATACATTCATACATATATGTATGCAATAAGTGTGTAATTCAAAAAAAAATTAAAAAATTTAAAATAATATTAAAAAAATTTTTTAAATAAAAATTTTAAGCTATTAAATTAAATGTAATTAAATACATTTTCAAAATCTAATAAGTGATAAAAGGTTGAGAAATATTCAAAGAGTATAATTATTTTAAAAATTATCTATATACAATGATAGAAAAATAAATAATTATAAAAACATAAATCTATAAAAAAAATGATTAAAACAAAATTATAATAAATTTGAAAATAAAAAGATTAAAAAAAATAAAATGATGATAAAAAAAAATATATAAAAATAAAAGCTATAAAATCTTCTCGATGCTATTTTGAAAATAATTTGTAAATATAATATATAATATTAACAACTACATACATGTATACACATGTATGCACATTAAAAAAGTTTAAAAATTAATCTTAAAAATACACACACAAAAACAATAAAAACCGTTAACGTTCGGTTGCACTGACTCTATAAAAGCAATAATACACTTCACAGCTGCCTTTCTTATCGCATATAAGGGTATACAAAATTTTTATCTTTATTTTGTTCAGCCAGTTTGTATGGCAGCTATATACTATGGTGGTCCGATATCGGTGGTTCCCACAAATGAGCAGCTTCTTGGCTCAAAAATTATTCAGGGTATAAAAAGGTATTACAAGAACCTTTAATACAAGGTTAAAAAGGTATAACTTGGCTAAAGAGATTGGAGATTTTATTAACAAACGACGTCTTTAAATATAATTAGACTCACATTTCTAAAATTTTAATGCTTTCTTTTTGAAACTCAAAAAAAAACCCCCGACTAAATTATTTCACAGCGCTCAGCTTGTCTTAGTAGTTTATTAGGCACACATATACTCAGACACACTCACGTACACACTAAGGTGTTTAATATTGCAAACATAACGGTTTCAGTTTTCAATTATTTATTAATTTATTTTTTTGATTTTTTCATTTGATTTTTTTGTACAATATGGATTATATGACTTTTTGGTCAACACGTGGTCTCATTTGCATATTGCTATATTTACATAATTGATTAGAAACGGAAAAGAGCAGAATATTATTATATATATATATATATATCGATATTTTATTTATACTAAAACAAGTGTCAACTGTACTTTAAAACAGGTCTCTTCATTAGCATTTAGTAAACCCAAAAACAAAAAAAGAAAACAAAGCCAATTTATGAGTTATAAATTATTCGATTTTTTTTTCATTAAAATTTTTGCTAAATCTTTAAATTTTACATTTTTATAATTTTAGGCAAAATGCGTTTCGGCTCAGTAGTGTGGTTGTTGCCGCTCTTTTTCGCATTGACTGCGGCACAATTTGGATTCCAGAATGTATTGAACGCACCGAAGGATATAGGAAGTGGTCTTAGCAACCTCGTGTCAAACGGTTTGACTTTTACGAATCATGACGACTTTTTGGTAAATCATTAATATTTTATTAATTATTTTGTTTTTATTATATGAAAATTTAAATTAGAATCATTAATAATATTAAATACTCCAAATAGTATAAAACTACAACAAAATAAAGTAATTATGATTAAATATAGAATAATAAAAAGAATATATTAGTGTGTATAATGTAGGAAAACTAAAACACTTAGAAAAACATACATATAGAAAAGAAAGTTGCAATAAAAATTTTAGATTTTTTTAAATAAAAATCTTTGTTCGGAGATTGTGACAATATCTTGTAAAAAAATCTAAGCCAAATTTCGTGAAGGTAACTTGTCAAACAAAAAAGCTTTCCATACAAGGTTTTTTAAGATATTTTAAAGAAAATATATTTTCTTTTATATATTTAATGGTAATAAAAATAATAATAATAAAAAAAAGACAACAAAAAAACTTAATAAAAGCAATATTTTTTGAATTGTTTTAAATATTTTTTTCTATAAATATTGCAAAGAATTTTGAATAACTGGAAATTATTAAGTTGTTTCCATTTAAATCTCTTTTTCTCGCTCTCCTCCTTATTCAATGTAGCTAAAAACCGGCAAAAGCTACCTCGATGCTGCTGAAAAACAATTTCGCGAGGCACAATTTGTTGCAAGTCAAAACTTGGTTAGCTTGCACAATGCCGCCAAGAAAGGTTATACATTGGCGCTCAACAAATTTGCCGATTTGACGCAAGCAGAATTCTTAAATTTCTTCACCGGTAACTCCAAATCAGCTAGTGGCGAGTGAGTAGACGAATGCAACACATTAGTTTCAAAAACGTATAAGTTTTTATATTTCTCATTTAGAGCAAAGGCCAGCGCAGATCGTCAGGAAGCCAAACCGCCCACCACCAGAGTGCCGAACGCATTCGATTGGCGCACTAAAGGCGGTGTCACACCGGTGAAATTCCAAGATAAATGCGGTTCGTGTTGGGCTTTTGCCACCACCGGCGCCATTGAAGGTCATGTTTTCCGTAGCACTAAAAAATTGCCAAATCTCTCCGAACAAAATCTAATCGATTGCGGTCCAGTCGATTTCGGTCTAAACGGTTGTGATGGCGGTTATCAGGAGTATGCTTTCGCCTTTATTAAGGATGAGCAAAAGGGTGTGCAAAACAGTGCCACATATCCATATGCGAATAAGAAGGATACTTGCAGCTATAATGCCGCAAATAAGGTGGCCGAAGTGAAAGGTTTCGCCGTAGTCAAACCGAAAGATGAAAAAACAATGAAGGAGGTGGTCGCCACATTGGGACCATTGGCATGTTCTGTATATGCTTTGGAAACGTTATTGCTTTACAAGGAAGGCATCTATGCGGATGAGGAGTGCAATAAGGGCGAAGTGAATCATGCGGTGTTGGTTGTAGGCTATGGCAGTGAGAATGGGAAAGACTATTGGATTGTTAAGAACTCATGGGACCAGAGTTGGGGAGAGGAGGGCTACTTTAGATTGCCACGCGGTAGCAATTACTGTGGCATCGCCGAAGAATGCAGTTATCCAATTGTTTAAATTAAGCGAAGGTTTATTCTAATGGTTCTATATAACGTAATTTGAAGAAATATAAGATTCGTACTAAATAATTTTTTTAGGCACATCATATACTATTTTATTTACTTAAAACGAGTCGTACAAATTCCTTTTTGCAAAACATAATAATAAAAATAAAAAATAATTTAAACTAAAGCAAAATCATCACGTTCATCATTGTAATTGAGGACGTGCTGCTTAATCTTGGAGCTATCCACCCATGTGACGAAATCTTCTAAATTGCGTGTTACTAAAAATGCTGGATCCGTAATCATATCGGGGCCCACACGTATATGTCCTTGCTCAATGAGATCTGTCGCGTTTTTGAGATTTTGGGAAAGCCGATCTTGAAAAATATAAGATGGTTGATATTTTTGGTTAAAACAAATGTACAATATGGAAAACGCAGATTCTACATTTATACATTCACACATTATTACATAACAGGATCTGAATTTTTGAACACGTCTTTTTCTTCCTAAGCTGCTCATTTGTCGGAATCGCCAATATCGGACTACTGCAGCATATAGCTACCATACAAACTGAACGATGAAATACATGCCCATGCATGGACAACTTTTTAGTTTGACGAGATATCTTCACGAAATTTGGCATGGCTTATTGTCCAAGGCATTATTGTCAAAATAAACATTTTGTAATCTCCTTTATGTTATAATAAATGCCCATGGTAAGAGGTAACCTCTTACATATACAATACAATGAATTCAATATTTTTTATTCCTAAACATCGAGTCTACCCTTAGGTACATGTAACCAGATACATACTCATTTGAATTTCAATGTTTATGTTAAGTATTCCTTCCCAGAGCTTATATAGCATTCTTATACTGCACACGGGTTTCATTCACTCATTACTTAATGTTAACCACTGCATTAATTCTATTAAATAATTACAAGGAAAAACTTACTTTTCACCATCACCACCGGCAAACGGCGTCTACAAAAACTACTCGCCGACACATTGCTGGCAACTGTCAAATCAATAGTATTGCGCGTTAAGCCCATGTCATATAGCTTCTGTAGCAACATTGAACCTGCTTCGGATTTGAAAGGATCTGACTTTTCTAAGTTGACAATTTTTTCACACAGCGTGCGTATCTCACGCGATAACTTGTTGTATCTGACATAAATAATATTCATTTAGTAACATAGGTATATGTACATATGTATGTAAATAAAATAAGAAACTCACTTTGTATAATCCGCTGGCTTGCGTATGTGATAGCGCCGTAAAATTTTTGTTTCTTTTCCACCATTATCTACTTTCCATGTAATGAAGTCAACTTTTTTAAGCAATTTCTGCTCATGGTATTTTAGTTTTCGTACCATTTTATGCGATTCACTTCACAAAAATTATTGCAATGTGAACTGTTTACCACAAAATAAGCGTGCTAAAAGTGCGGTCAGCTGTTTCTTGTTATGTGCCGTGAGAGAGATTTATCGGTTGAAAAATCGATAACTATATGCTCTAAACAATTTTAATATCTAATATATTTTTTAAAATATTGTAGAATTACGCATTTATCATAATTTGTTGTTAAAAATCAACTTTATTTTTGATTGTTAGTGCTACAATCAATTACATTGTAAATAAAGTAGCACAGGGTGTTGCGAATATAATTAAAATTGTAGTACAGGGTAAACTATATATTAAAAACTGTCATTTGTATAATCAACTTGTTGATCAGCAACATTTCTCCATTCCACATGTTGCTGGCAAGTAGCTCCAAGTTGTAAATAAAATTCTCTTTAATTGTTTTAGGGAAAATTAATTAATTTTATTTTTTATTGTGTTGGCGTTGTAAATGTTAATTTTATAGTTCCACAGTCGAATGAGACAAAAATAACTCATTCTCACGACAGTCGGGTCTACGTAACCGGATTTTTATCCGGCCAAGAACTGTCAACCCTGCAGAATTCTTCCTTTACAACAACAAAAATAACTTGTGTAGCCACAAAATAAAGTCTAAAGTGGTCAAATCGAATCTCTCTCGTTCTGCTTTTCTCTGAAAATAATCTGTTTGGAAAAGGAATAATCAATAATTTAATAATAAAGTGGAAAATTCCGTTGTTAGCTCGCTAAGACTTTAACATCTTTTCGATATTTTCTTTTCGATGTGCTGTAAGGTTTTTACATTTTCTTTTGGCTAAAAAAGTGTTGAAAAATATATGTTTTGTTTAAATTTGTTATAATTTATTTATTTGTATATTTTTTGGAAATAAAAATACACGATCACGCGTTTCTTTCCCTTCATTTACCACGCTTATGTTGTTATTTTCTGCTCACAGAATATTTTTTGTTTCAGATTTACTTTGTTCGTTTTATATAACTTAAAATAATGTTTAAATATTTGTATATATATATATATATAGATTATCGTAAGTGTAGTACAAAAATGTTAAATGATAAAATGAGCTTAAGAATTTGAATGATTTTTTTAATAAAAAATAAAAAAAAAATAAACAGAAAATTATATGAAAAAAGCATTAGCTTCCTAAAATAACTCTCTCTTAAAAAATGTTCGAATTTTCATTTTGTCATTTATTTGTGTTGTGGTTTTTTAACTTTTGAGTGGTGCGCAAGAGTCTAAGCCGAAAATAGAAAACTACAGTTTCTTAATGGAGAAAATCGTTGATTGGACTATTGAAACTACAGCGGCGCGTGGAATACTTGCGTTATGTGCTTAATAAATAAGATTTATTTTTACTATGAAGCGGCTGAGCAAAAGTAACTGAAGCTAAAGGAAAGGGCAGTATGGAGTACATTTTTTTTACATATACACACAAATACAACTTAAGAAGTAGCTAAAGTTTTTGCTTGTGTTAAAAAATTTATTTAGTTTTTAGTTATACACACATATGCATACACCTATGTATATTACGGATTTTTTTCTTAATTTTGCTGGAAAGTGTCTTTGTGAATTTCTCTTTGTCTTACAATTACCTGCTTTCAGTTATACGGAAACGAATATTTTAAAAAGTTATTGGAAGATTTTCAAACAAAAACCTGGTAATCCTGCTTTTTGCATTAGAAAAGATTGTTCAGTGTTTTGAGTGCGACTCAATAATTATATGGTGGACGCAACAAGAATTATTAAATTATTTAACAACATTTCTTAATTTGATTAATGTAGGTTATAAAATCATTAATTAAAAAAATATATGTACATACATTTATCATTTTTTTATATCAGCTTTTAATTTAATCCAAACTGGGTTAAAAAAATTTAATTGTTAATTAAAAAAAATTATTTTTAACATCATAAATAATTTTGTTAAAACATATATTTAATAATTTATAATATATTTATTTTTATATTATAAATCATTAACATCATGTATAAATTTTTTTTTGCAGAAATTTATAGAAAAAAAAACTAATAATAATATAATAAATTGTGACTCATTGAAAAATATAATTATGTATATTAAAAATGCAAAAAGGCTTAATTATTAAAAAATATTTTGATGTGGAAAATTATGATATACATTTTTTAAATTAAACATAAAACAGCAAATTCTTTTATACGAAAAGATGTTTAGTGATTATTAAAAAAAATTGTGCGAAATAATGAATTACAAAGAAAAGAATTATTGTACTTCAAATGAAAAAAGTATGTACATAACTCTTTTTTTTAATTAACAACTTAATTAACATTTTATTTATTAATTAAATATTTCATTTATAGAAATTTATAGAAATCACTTTAATAAAAATATATAATAAATAAAATAGAAAAAATGTAAATAAATAAAAAAAAGATAGCTGCATAAATTTATAAAAAATATAACTGCATAAATTAAAAAAATATATATATTTATTTTATTTAATAAAAATTTAGTTTTGCTTAAAAAACCAATTAATCGCTTTTTAGTATCATTTTTGAATTCTTTTTTAAAAATAAAAATAAAAACGAGTATATTAATTATATTAATGTACCAGTATAACGATTTGTAAAAACTAAATTTAAAATAAAAATATATACATATGTATATTTAAAAATCATTAATGTGCCCAACTTAATATTTTTTGAATAATTTTAAATTTAATAAATTAAAAAATATTGTGTTAAATAATTTTCTGCAGAAACATGTCTTGGGTGTCCACCATACTTAGTAAAAATTAATGTTACAAGCATTCTATACGCATTTTATTAAAAAAAAAAAAAAATTTTAAAAAAATTTATATAAAATAGTTTTATAACAACTTATGTAAAATAATTTTTTACAAAATAAATTTCGAGTAAACGAATTATAAAAAACACAACTTGAACGGTACATTTTTTAATAAATATTAATGTTTCATATATACGGTATACACGACATTGACAATGTTACAAATATGGTTAAACGCCTAAAAGTATGCGATGACTTTAGGAAACATGCAAAAAAAAAATAAAAAATTCTAAAAATTTGTTTCTTACTGTACACGCACTTTATACACTTGCCTGTTAGTAGTTTTTAGCGTTTATCATTTGAATATTCACCAATAAAAACACTTTTTTGTGCACAAAAATCGTAGAATTCAAAAACTTGTTTTGACAAATAAATATAATAATATATATAAAACTCCGACAGCCTGTTTTTATATATACTTAGCAAGCAAGCATATAAATTCTGGAAATGTTACTACAAAGCACAAACATATTTTAAGGGTGTCCCTTGTTTGCCAAGTTGATTGATTTTTGTTTTACAGACGCCCCTTGAAGTTTACGATTTAAATTGTAAGTAAAGAGCTTGATTTCGTTGGATCCTTATTTTTAAGGCAAAAACTGAAACTTTACGAGGCGTCTGCAAAAAAAAAACAATTTACTTGGGAAATAAGGGGCACCCTAATATCTATGTAGCATTCTATCTATCTTCTGTATTGACATTAACACCCACTTGCTGCGTACCAACAACAAAATCCAACATTTATGCATGTAAGTATGTATTCATGTACATATTCATATTTATTCGCTAAGCTTTTGTTAAGACATCACCATCACTTTGCATATGTGTGTATATATATATATGTGTGTAATTTCTGTGTATATATATTCTTTATGTATATATTTATGTAGTTGTTCCACATTCAATTTATTGCTACAAAATTATTTCTATGAAACATTGATTTAAAAAAATCCATTCTATATATATTTGTTTTTTTTCATAAAAAAAGTTTAAAGTAAAACAGTATTAATTTATTAATTAAAAAAAAAGAGTTAAAATAAAATCTGAGTTCACTCAAATGTAAGTTTACGGTGAATACTATTAGTTCTCGTTCCTTTTTTTGTTTTTATAGCTTATTTCGTTTGCTGTTGTTGTTGTTTTTTAAAATTAGCATGTAAAATAATTAGTATTTAGTACAGACGACGAATGTGTGTGTGTGCATGTTTTTTCTCGCTTTTTATGTCTGTGTATGTGTTAGATAAAGAGCAAAAGAAGTATACAAGTATAACTTTGACAAGAGCCGTTAAGTTACATACAATACATATATGTATGCATGTATGTATGTATGTAAGTATGTATATATAGCATATTACATAGTGATTATTTTTAAATAAGTTCAACAGGTGTTTTATACTATCAAGCTTATAAAAGAGAATTAATTATATATATGTATATATATATCTTTATTATTATTTTATTTTCTTTAATTTCTGTATGCATGTGTTTTGGATATATGCCTATATACATAGATGTGTATGTATATATGAATATCCTAGCTGTGTATATGTGTGTGTGTGTGTGTGACACTTTGCGCCCGTTTAAGCTTATACAAGTTTGGCTTTCAAGTCGCGCAACAACACAATTCTCTCTATGCCAAATGTATGTATCTCTCTTTTACACTCGCGCTCTCTTTTTGCTTGCGTTCACTCACTTTACTGCGCTGCAAGCGCTTTTTAACTTTAAGTTTTGCAGTTAGTAAATGTTAGTTTTTTTACTTTTTGTTGTATTTTTCGCAAATTTTTCTTGCTTCTTTCTTTCTTTTTGTGTTAATTTTGCTCGCTCTGTTCCTATTCTGTTTTTGTTTGCATTATCAATCAATGAATCCATATATATATTATATATATATAAGTAGGTATGTAAATGTATATGCATATATGTATATATATATATATATATATATATATAACTTTCGAATCAACAATTTACATCTACATAGAAGTATGTATGTACGTATCTCAGTTGACAATTTGCATGATGTCTCAGCAGTTTTTGTTTTCGCTCCGTTTTCTGCTAGCAGCAACAACAATATTTTGCAATTTCTTCGAGCACACATACACACACACAGAGGAGCGTTGCCATATGTGGTAATAGAGGTAGCGCAGCCACTTGCGCGCCATATTATGCATCGCCACACTTTATATAACTAACGCCATATCCTTTTTACTGGGCAAATGCACCTTTTTGCCCTGCCACAGTGAGTTGTGAATCGTAAATGCATCGATGGTGACCGTTAGATGCTTTGTATGGACTTGTGAAAAGCATTTGCCGCCTGAGTTGTATCTGTAAAAAAAAAGAAAAGAATTATCTATACATATATACATATGTGGATATAAGCGTTAGGGTGTCTGTTATTCCACCAAACTAAATATTTTTTGGAAACGTTAGTTTTTGTCCTAAAAAAAGTATCCTACGTAAATAAGCTCTTTATTTTCGATTCAAACCGTGCCTTTATTATTTTACTCATTGGATTTTTGGATCTTTTGCAATACATTTTTATCTCCAAAGAAAATAAACTTACAACTTTGAAAAGACGATAATCTAATACGAAATTCTCCGCTCTACAAAAAAGTGTTTAATGATTTTTTTCATAAAACCACTCCTTTAAAAGTTATACGCATTTGAAGTTATACATCAAATCCACTGAGGCTCAGTAATTCTGTTACTGAGCATTCATGAAGTACACCATGTCGTATGAGCAACACGGAATTTATAAGGCACTTGCATGGATGCTCAGTACATTTGATGCATAAATTTAATTGCATATAACTTTTAAAGAAATTCTTTTATAAAAAAATGTAAACTTGTTGTCAGAGGTTTAGTTGTGTTCAATTCCATCAGTTCCCTAAATACAGGATCTGATTCAGAAAATTATTAAGGAGCTTATTTACAATAGCTCCGTTTTTAGTCCGACAATAACTGAAACATCAAGTGGCGTTTGCAAAGAAGACACTCCAATAAGCATGTACTCACTTAAAGAATTTGTCAAACATGACTTCATCCACTTGACTAGGTCCTGTACCGTACAATTTGGTTACTTGATCCATTTCGGGCACATAGCTGTACAATGCACGGAATTGACAGCCGGCATCGCGGAAGAGCACTAGAAAATGTTTCGCTTCGGAGCGTGCAATCTTCTCGAGTACTTTTTGTTTGGCCTCACGATTCACCGCACCGGGGAACACGCAATATTCGACGGCATTCAATATGATGCCACGATTGGATTTGGCGGCTGGTTGTTTGTAGAGTTTCGGACCTGTTGTCAGCGGCGCAAGGAAAGAGGGAGAGATGGAAATATTTTTAGTATACAAAAATTAAAATAATTTTCAAGTTTACAAAGAGAGAGTTACAGACTACCCATATACTATATATGTGTATGAACGGTAAATATTAAGTAAATTATGTAGGTACGGTACAAGTGTAGCAACAGTAAACTGCATTTAAAGGTAATATCAAATAAATGAAAATATTTAAATTTATACATTATCAACTTTGATAATTTGTGAGTAAATTATTTTACTAAATTTACTAAATATTTGGAACTCAATAAGGCTCTATATTTAGGGAGCATATTTATAAAAATTTATTGAGGTAAGGTAAGCGTAAAAATATTCTTTAATTAAGCTAAGAATAATAATAATAACAAATAGATACAGAAAAACATTAAGAAAACTCATTAATAATATATAATAAAAATATAAACAAAACTAAACTATTAAAAAAAAAATTTTTTTAACTAAAACTCTAATATAATGATTAATTTTCGCAATTTAATTATATTTGATTTAAAAAAATACTAATTAATTTTGTATGCCTACCTAATGTTTAAATTAGATTGTATTTGTTATTGCGATTTTTTTTACATTTTATTTGAATTAAAACATAAGAATAATAATAAAATAATTTTTTTTTTAGAAATTGTTTAATATTAAAACTTTTAATCAAAAGCTAGAAATAAACATTTGAAGCAAATAATTTATCAACAAAAGAATGCATAATTAGATTTGATTATAATAAAGCAATTCCATTTTTTTTTTTCAATTTTAGGCCACCCTAACGTTCATAATATTTTACTTAAATTTATAAATTCTTTGATATTAAAATTTTTAATCAAAATACAGAACTAACGTTCATAATATTTTACTTAAATTTATAAATTCTTTGATATTAAAATTTTTAATCAAAATACAGAAAAACAAATTGATGAAAAAACATTTATCATAATCTTGTATTAATAAATAGAAACTTTCAATAACTTTTTTCCCTTTCCTCACCCCTTTAACAATGTTGGTTAAAAAAAATACAATGCGTGCTAATAAGGACATCCCTAAGACATATTTGAACT